TCAATATATGCAGCATGCTTGAACAGAACTATTGCCTCTATTTGAATGTAGATACCACATTCACTTACTGATGTTCCTATCAATAAAGACCTCTTACTGTAAAACATATGACACCGTAATTAGAGAACTTGTCTTCTTTCTGACAGCCTGTTCACCCTCTTGCTTCACTGGGTAACTCTGGGAAGCTTAGTTTAGGTCTCAATATTTAAAAAAGCACATTCAGAAGATTAACAAAAATGGTATAAAAAAAAGTGAAATTGGCTTCTCTTGGAGCATACACAATTTTGCTTTAGATGATTTTGCCAATACCACCAGCCCTGCTCAAGAATTTTCTTTGGAAGTCTGTGAGACCATCCATTTTATACTTCAGTATTAATCTAGAGGGTGGAATAACCTTGAGATTTAGATTGCAACCTTGAATATGAATGCAAATATTCACACTTTTCTCTAGTATTACAGTATTTTTTCATGAACTGAGAAATATTCCTTGTTATCTAAATGTTGTAAATACTCAACTGGTCTTGTTTTATCATGGACATGAAAAAGGGATTTCAAAAGTTGGCCTAAAATATTACATAAATGCATGAGTCAAAATAACTATATACACTGTCTAATGACCTGTTACATAATGGTTTCTTCATTACCTGTGGTTTCAGATGGAAGTGATTATGCATAGTAACATTTAGCTAGTTGGTCCTAGCCCTTGTAGTCCCAGAACATAATCTTTATATTTTTTCAGTGACATAGATTTTAGTTTGATGTGTCTGTTCTTCATTTGCATTTTTACATTTTGATGGGTTTTAGTATCTTCCCCAGAGCTTTATGTTGTTTAGAACATCATAGTACAAAAATATTTCCTATACTAGTTTTAAACATTGGAAGAATCTGCATTTGTATACATCAGTAGCTTTATCCCATAAATCAGTAAATACAGAATTTAACTGGTGTTGACTAACAGAATATCTGTGCTATACCACTCTTCCTCTTTCGTCTTTCTTCATCTTCTGAACAGAGTATTTATTTTGTAATGAGGTTAGGTGGGCTAAGGTTGTATTCTGTGAATCTATGATCGATGTGTAAGTTCTACCATTGTGCTACAGATTAAAACTTAGCAACAAACCTAAAGGCTGAAGTTCCACTATAGGATATCAGTGGAAGAATGTCTTTTGTTACCTCTACCCTAAAACCGACAGTTCAGTGTTGACTCAGTAAAACTCTAGGAATTATTATTCCAGAATTATTTTCTTGGCTTCTTATTACCTTACTGGTATCACTAGTTCTTAAACACTTCAGAGTTGCTTGTTCCTCCATAGCTGTAAAATACTGTAATTCATTTGTTTTTTAGTAAGATCAGGGATATAAATACCTTTTCAAAAACAGTACTTAAGTACAGATGAACTTTTACTTGGAGTTTCTAGTGTAGAGTCCTGCCACCATGCTCTGTTCCTTATAGTGTGTAGTCAGACCAGTGCTTCTCTTCCAAGAGATGTTCTGATGATTATAATTGTCTTAGCAGGTACTGTCGCTCCAAAACATATACTGTTGGAAAGAAAGAAAAGGATAAATATATATAGTTTTCTAGGAGTTCAACCTCATTCCTTACGTGCAACAAACTATGTGTGTTCGAGCAGAATATAAATATAATATAAAACTCTTCTGCATATAGTTTCAGACTCTAGAGCTTGTGGTAGAAATGCATGTTTCAAGATGGAAGGGAACAGCTGAGAACTAAGAACAAACCTTGCAGAACAAATCTGCAACCTTCATCCCTTCCATTGTTTTGCTTGTTTTTCTATACATATTGAGCACTTTTCTCACTTCTAAGTAATGCAACTGTCTAAATAAATATTTTACATTGGACCTTCACTGCAAAGATACAACACATGAAATGAAGTTTCTTAAAGAAACGTTAATGTAATTACTTTTTTTCTCCCATAGGTCTTGCATTATTAACACTTTACAATATATGTACCATAACAAATTAAACTGTATACTTATATAAGAATATAAAATATAAAAATGTATACAAAGTAACCAGAAAGCTTTAACATTTGCACTTGTCTTTATTTTAATTGTACAACTTAAAGGTGGTATTATAATACATCATTATGCATTTAATCGTCTGGTTTGATTAAAAACAATTGCATGTCCTTACTCATAGTTTAAGTGATTCCAATTGGCTTTGAAGTCTTTCACTTCAGTGAAGCAAATGGGATGTGGTAGACTTGAATTCCAATCTTTATTGCTCATTTCACTTTGACCAATGAGTTTTCTACAAGCCTGGGTTAGCAAGGCTTATAGATATTAGTTTACAGAGTAGTGCCATATCCTTTCTGAAATTATCCTTTTAGACTTGAAAGCTTGTTGATACTGCTCAGCATTGCCATTATTGAAGCAGTCTCTAAAATATGAGTCTTAATTTATTAGGCTTAATTCAAAATCTTTGAGAAGTGAATTAATGAGTGCTGTTCAGAAAGGATTTTAGATATCATTTAGCTCTCCTAAAACAGAAGCAGATTCCAATTTCAGTTTACACAGAAGTCTTTTTTCAGTTGCTTATAACTTTTCTTTTTAGTTATCCCAGCAGCCGAAGGGGGAAGCGGAGGAGATATGATCTTGCCAAATTTCTTTTGGCTGTTTTAAGTGTAATTTTTTTCAAAACGTGTTTGGAATTGCATTACAAGGTTTTTTAAAAAAGCATAGTATCTGCACTAATACAATTTAAGAAGTGTTGAAATTACTTTTTTACTGTGTAGCAGTCACTCCCAGCAGCTGGTGAAAAAAATAACCTTAAGAGTTTGTTGTTTGTTGTTTGTTTGCTGTTTTTTTTTTCTCTGTTCTTTCTACTTACAGTTTACACTGTTTTAAACCTTTTACTAACTCAGCTGACATGCCAGTATTTTGAAAGACATTGTGAGGATGTGATCCACTGTCAGAACAATGTGAATAGCTTCAGAATCTGACCTGTTTTGTGCATAGGGGAATGCGTTACTTTCGAAGCACAGCTACCTTAGGGAGGCAGCTTGGCAGTAGTTATAATGGCCAATGATGCTACAAAATTTACAATGGCAAATGAAGAATATTATACATGATAGAAACAGGAGGGTTATTTAGATAGGCATAATATACTGTAGTTACTGAAGTATAAATGACTGTGAAAGAAAGGGCCAGATTTTTCTCAAGCTGTGTCTGCTATATACCATACGTTGTATTTAAAGGAGACAGAACTGTGGTAAACAATCATCGGCAGCTCACTGCAGAAGCTTGGGATGTATAGGAGATATGGAGCTAGTGAAATGACTGCTTAGTCTTTCTGATCTACAGAATAGGGGACATGGCAGCAAGGCAGGAGGTTGTCCCAGACCACTGCAGTTACTTTCGGCTGTTTTGGTCATTTGAGAGTACTGGTAGGTAGCAAAAGCTGAAAGCAGCCTTAGCCCATGTAAACTAACACTGCTTTAGTCATCTTTGTTGTTAGCCGGAGTACATTCACTTTTAAGTGAATTAACAATAATTAATAATCAAGGTCCAGAAGTAAAAACCCACTTTTTAGAAAGTGGTCCTAGCTGAAAGGTGATGATGCATTCACAAGCACAACACTTCTAGTCCTGGCATGGATGGTGAGTTCACCCCTGTATTAGGGTCATAATCTCCTGGTTCACCAAGTCCCTTCCTCAGCTACTTCTAGCAACTGAGCCTTATAATTCTTTTCTGAAACTGAACAAGTTCTATCTAAAACAAAGTTTAAAAAAAGTCATTCTCACAACTCAGCTTTAAAGGCTGAAAACTATCTAAATTTAGCTTGCCTATATTTAGGGCAGTTTTTAAAAGTGGAGTTTGTTAGTATTTAGTATAACCTATTCTGTGACTTGTTGGTGAGGAAATTCTGGTGAGATCTTACCCTGGAGTCACAATAGCAGTTTCCCCCTTTCTGGTTTCATTTGATCTCCCAGGGAGAAGTAATAGTCTCCCTTGTGACAGTTGGAGAAGGAGATGTTCACCTTAAGGACATGCAGTGAAAATAAATCAGAAACACATTTCCTTGCACATGGCCCAGCTCTTTACGTTGCAGTTACCATCCAGATTTGAGTGGTTGCAGTCTGTAAGCAAGTCCTGGGCTAGTAAGACCATCAAATGGCTTATGCTGTTCTTGAGCTTCTTTTCAGTAGAAGGTGCGGGAAATATAGATTTAATTCTTTTATTCAGACTCAGTAGATGGTTTGGGACAATTAATTTCCAATTGTTTCCCAGTAGAGCAGATTTACTTGTATATTAATGAGGCACAGGTGTTAGGCCCCTGGTGTCTGCATGCCTGGGAGGCATATTTAGGTTGTTTATCTAGTCAGCCATAGGTACTGCAAGGTACTCAAGCTTGCCTTTAACAGTTTATACAGTGAAGCTTTTTAATTTTTTGATGTTTTTTTAAATTTGCTAGCACCTGTTAAAATTTTAAAACTGATCATGTAGAAAGAAGTAGGAGTGATTTCAATAGTAAATAGCACTAAATGTTAAAGAAAGTCATCTTCTATTATGCTTAACTGCCCAGCTTGACATTAAGAAGAAAAGAAGGTTCATTTAAGCAAATATGTCATGTGAGGAACTAATACAGTCAACAGTATACTTTTCTGTTGCATATTTTTGGAATAGGTACTTCTTTGTCTACAGCTGAAACATGAATGTGCTTATATTAATATTCATTTTTCTTGTTTATTCACTGAACTGCAGTACCAACATTTTAGAGGAAATGGAATAGCCTCCATAGACATTATGAATTTCAGTAGCTGGCATAATTATAGCGATCTACATATTCATTAAATCCAAAGAAGAAATGTGTCCAAAAAGACAGCCATGCGTTTAGAAATGGTACACAACTAAATATATAGATTTTTTAAAAGTTGCTTTCCTCTGCTTATCCAAAATTGTGTAGTGTCATATAGTCCTTAAATCAGCTAAGTTTTTTTTAATGTGTAAATGTTCATTCCTTTTGTTTTTGCATGCAGTAAAGAATGGGAAGGACTATTTGTAAACAACAATTACTTGGCAACTATACGGCTGAAGGGGATTAATGGGCAGCTGAGAAGCAGCAGGTTCCGTAGTGTTTGCTGGAAGGTAAGAAGAGAAAATATTTATTTACAGTTTGTGGTTGCAATATATCAACACATTACCTGATGTGCTGGAAGATTATTGATGCAAAGAATCATGAATTTTCCGACAGACTTCATCCCAATGTTTTCCTCCTCATTTTTATAATTCATAGGATATTTGCTAATCATATTGACTTGCCTTAAAGCTGAATTGTGAGTGATATCAAAAGATTCCTTGGGAAGACTATCTTTGTGTTGGGTAGTATGTTTAAAATTGAGTGCTACACAGCCATCTCGCCTGTATATTGAAACCATGAACTGGAAATAAAAAGAAGGTTTGTCCGAGAATTTGTTTTGTGGAACTTGGAACTCTTTTAAAATTATGATGCCTCTCTTAGCAGCTTTTTGCAGAGAAGTGAGAAAACGAAGACAAATCTCTGTTGTGATCATGGAATCATAGAGGTTGGAAAAGACTTCCAATATCGTCTGGTCCAACCATTCCCCTATCACCACTATCACCCACTAAACCATGTCCCTAAGCACCATGTCCAACTTTTCCTTGAACACCCCCAGGGACGGTGACTCCACCCCCTCCCTGGGCAACCCATCCCAATGCCTGACTAAATGACTGGATAGAGAAGGAAGCCAGGCCTTCCAGTCTTAAACTGCAAACAGGTCCTTAGATCTATTGATTTTTTAATAGTTGCAGGGGATGGAAGAGAGAAAGAAAGCAAAGTAATATTGAGATGCTATATAAAGTCCAGAAGAACTTTGTTGCACTGGTGTCAGGTGTTCTGTTCTTCACTAGCTTTTTCCCTGGTAGACTTCCTCTATGGTAACACCGCTAATTTAAATTACCTCTCTTGGAATAACTCAAGCTTGACTTTGGCACGAAGACCTGTGAAAAGAAAATCAAAATACACTTTGTATATGAAAGAAACAAATTTCAAAAACTAGATGTTCGTTGCATTGAAGAAATTTAAAGATAATGAAAGTATCTTTTTCAGGAGACCAGGTTAATACTTGCCATGCGCATTTTTTATTAGTCTGTTCCCTCTTATGCCTTTAAATTAAGAGGCCTTAACTCAAAAACCTGAGCTAACAGAGGCATCAAGTCCCTCACTGTCCACTGATTAAATCAAGGAACAGTTTTATTCTAGCAACAAGGCTGGTTTTATTTGCACGTCCTGATATGGCTTAGGGGCTCTGTTTTAGATTGCCTGTTTAAAAATATTATCAATGTTTACATTAAGTTCTGAAATAATAAGTATTTTTAATAATTTGAGAATGCATTTTGTTTGTCATTATTTGCTGTTTCATAACACATATATACATGAAATCATGTTTAAACAGAAGAAAATACTCTTTTTTCCTTATTTTATTTGCAATTAAAGAGCATTTTCTAATAGATGTCTATTTCTAGCCTCATTTAAACAGAAATGTGAAAAAACTGAGATGTAGATCTTCTCAAGGACTTTTTGCACAATTAAATCTTAACTTTCTCACAGCATCCTAGAACATCTTTATTTTGTACATATTAAGATTTTCCTTTTCCACAGTTCTTAGGTAGAATGTATCTCTATGTGGTTAGTTTCTGCTCAGCATTCATGTTTGGTTTTAGGCATGTTGAATCAGCTGGTCAGTGTTATGTAAATAGCTCCAAGTTTTGTGTATTTATTTTAATCTCTTTGCATTTTGTTTCTGCCTTGCAAGTTTTAGCCAAATTCACTGGAGTTGTGACAGTTTGCAGAGCTTGAGTTTGTGGTTAAAATAGTATGTAATATTTTGTGTAGTACCATAGAACTGTAATTATTTTCTAGCTTCTTTTTTATTGACTGGAATGTCTTAAAGCCAGGGCTGTTGTATAGGTCTTTACGTCCTTCTCCTTATGTATAGAATACTTGCTCTTCCTTTCTGAGATGGCTTATGCTGTCTGGTAGGATTTATATGTAAAGTATATCAAATATAGATTTATATGTAAAAGTATATCAAATAGATTAAACTTAATGGTTTTACTTTGTTTTGTTAATAGTTATTTCTGGAGGTTCTACCGCAAGACAGAAGTCAGTGGATTAAAAACACTTCAGAGTTAAGAACTTCGTATAATAAAATCAAAGAAATTGTAAGTTGGTATAAATAGGATCTCTACTCTCACAGTTTGACATAGGTACTAATGCTTAATGGAAGAGGATTTGAATTTTTTCTGTTTTTACCCAGCACATTACAAACCCTCGGAAAGCAGGACAGCAAGATCTGATAATCAACAATCCACTCTCTCAGGACGAGGGGGTAAGTTGACCTTAGTTTGTTAGTTGACCTAACTTGACCTTAAGTTGAGGGGTTAAGTTATATGTTGAGATGTGCTACAAAATTGTCATCACCATCATCCTGACGTGAGTTCATGCTGAGGAAGGCAAAATGGCAGGTGCTGAAATCTCATTCCTGAATTTCCAAACTGGCTTGTGGTAATGATTGGTTCACAGGTTCTGTTGAACAGCCAGAAATGTTCATTTCCAGGTTAATATTCTGATCATTCCATGCTTATTGCAGAGAAGGCTGTGATGACCAAGGAAGTAATTGGTGCTGGACAATAGTTCCAGTTTCACAGAATATCCTTTCTTTGACTGATATGCTTTCTTACAGCTGTGTGTTTTCATTTTATACACAGAATGTCTCTAGTCGAAGGACTGTTTAAACATTCAATACGAATGGGAATACTGTTAACAGCAAATAGTGAAGAACCCTTCTATGGGGTACTGCTTAGCCTAGGAAGTTTTCCTCTAGCAAAAATAAAATTGTTGTCTGTCTGTGTAGTATGCATCTTGAAGTAATACGTAAAGTACCAGGCTGCAAAATAGGCAATTCTTCCAAGGTTTTTAAATATTTTTTCTGTTTCTTTTAACTGTACAGTTTATTTTCTATTCAAAAAGCAGACAACTGCAAAATGACAGATCCTAATTTTAAAGGAATAATGAAAATGTGGTAAAAGTATTTGGCATGACTGTCATTAAGTGCAAAGCATCCAGCTCTTGCTGAAGTTAATAGAACGTCATAGTAGCTCAGTATTTTCATAGTCATGACACTTTGATGAATGTCTAGATATAGGTGTGGGAGCTTAGTTTTAGGCAACTGTTTTTTTTTACACTGTTTTTGTGCTTCATTTTATTATATATGAAAAAGTATTGAGTGTGTTAAGTTTTTTAGTATGTTTAAGCTTTTCTGCTTCATATTATTTTGTTAGCTTTTTATTATTTTTGGAAGTCTTTACCAATTTTTCAAAATAATTTAATACCATGAAAATAGGTTTGGTGGGTTTTTTATTTGTTTCGTTTTGGGAGGGAAGAGTGGAGGTTGATGGCTGTATTTAAGAGATGTGCACATAGAAAGACTTTCATGGATATCTTTGATGGAATGATACTACTCATGTTTCCGTTTTGTTCACAAGGGGAAGCCCATATTTTCTTTGTATTTAGTGCAGTACTCTGCTTCATATTTAATGCAGAAAGAGAGATGTTTGAATAGCTTGCTTGTTGAAGTATGGAAGTATTGATCATAGGCTCATTTCTGGTTCTGCAGATGATATGACTGTGCATGCCATCAAACCATTCTTGCATCCAGCTGTACAGAAAGCTGTGTCAGACACAAAAGATTTAAAGTGTTCCTGCTGTAGTCTGTAATTGTACACAGTGACATTATCTTTTTTCCACTTTTGATGTCTTTAGGAGATGGAAGATAAAGGTTAATGTATAAGGGGGTTAATCTATAAAATAAAGCCACAGGCCAAGTCAAGCATAAGGATGAAGAGCAAAATGCTTTTTAACCTCTGCAGGAAAAGTTTTAGCCTTTGGTGTCCTGGGTTTTGCTTCCTTTGTAGCCATGAAATTGTTTCCTTCATACTTGACTTTGAGTGACTGTTGGGGTGGGGGGAGTGGGGCAGAGTTTCAAAAAGTGATCTAGCTGCATGAAAAAAGCTACAAGTAAGTTAAAAAAAAAAAAAGTTTCTATAAGACATTGTCAAGGGTATAAATACTTTTTTGTTTTTTCTTCCTTTTTCCTTTCCTTCCTTCTGATACTTAACATTGATATACTTTCCATTTTCTTTTTGTGGAGCATAAAACACCAAGGCAATCAATTGTTTACAGGAGAGCAAGAAATTCTGGAAGTGTTGTAGCCACTTTCTTTGTAAAGTATTTAATTCAGTAAAACTAACCTAAATTAAAAGGCTGATATAGATTTGTTCCTACTGTAGTTTGATCAGCATGCTACCATTCCTTTACAATAAAGAGTAAGTTTTACTTTACAATACTTTATAACATTTGCTGACTTCTTCCAGGTTAGCTTTTACGAAATATGGCTAAGTAAAGCATGGAAACCAAAGACAGCGAATGGCAACGATCTTAAGCACAGATATAGAAAAAGCTAACCCTGCTTCAAACTGTTATTTATTTTCTTTTATGTTGACAATGAGCTTTAAATACTCTTTTTGTCTGTATAAAAGCCTTTTCAGAATGCCCAGTCTTGCTCTGTACTGTGTATTTGTACAGTTAGAATGATGTCATTTTCATGATACTTATTCAATAATCATACATTCCTTATTTGATTTTGCCTCCACTAAGACAAACTAACTTGCTTGCAAACAATTTCTTAGTATGGAAATTATGGCAACTTCTAATTGGAGTCCATATACTTACAGGAGAAATGTCAAACTGTACTGTGATCTAGACTTTTTTAGTTGAGTTGGTTCTTCAATTTACTAAATATTCTTTATAGACCTCTTCATTTGCACACAAGCAGCCATCCACTGAATGCATGCAGTAAGTATAGAACTAAGATCCAGGAACTTAATTTTTTTATATCTCTGATCTAAACTGACGTTCTTCAGGCTAATCAACAGCATTCTTTTTCACCCATAAAATGTTGGTGTGCCTATCCAGGAATGGTAAGGATTAATTAGTTAATATTTGTACAGTACTTTGCTGATGCAGCATATAAGCCTTGCATATTAGAATTCTGTGTTACATACAATTATTTTTCCGTATTTCAGAGTCTTTGGAATAAATTTTTCCAGGATAAAGAGCTTCGAGCAATGATTGAACAAGATGTGACAAGAACGTATGTAGATCTTCAAAGAAATTTTTATATATAAATTTAGATTCTGCATTTTTATGTGATATACGTTATATAGCAGTTTCTTGAGTTAGGTTAGTGTAAATGTCAGTACTGTTGAACATGAATGTGAAGAAACATACATTAAATGTATAAAAATACAGCTTTCTTGGAGTGTAGAGTGAGAAAATTGAGTTAAACATTAAACCCAGGAGATTTATTGGTATTGCTGAAGAAAAGCTCTTCTAAATTAAGATATTAGGAAATGTATTACTATATGAAATTTAAAACAGTTTTCCATATAAAGCAAAGAGCAGGTAAGAAAAACTGAAAGGTCTTTTACCTAAATTATGATCATAATAAAGCATTGAACAGATGAATTTCTGTAATTCTTAACGGTTATTCAATCAATTTAAAAATATATATATATGTAATTAGTAAGGGAAATGTCATTCATCTAGAGAAGTTAAGCATTTCTATCTTTATTTATCAGTTTTCTAGTGTCACATATGCCTTTTAAAATTTGTCCTAATATTACTGTGACTGTCTTTTCATCTTCCTGGCCCTTAGGTCATTCCTGTTTAGAAACTTGTTTCAGATAGAACACTCAGGTCCTGAAAGCATTTCTTTTTAGATTTGAAGCATTGACTGCTGTGTAAATCTAGTTAAATGAAGTTAAATTTCACATGGTAGCAAAACATTACTTTATTGCAAATATTTTTTCTTGCAACTTGAAAAAAAGTGGTGATTGTCATAGATTTTACAAATCCCAATCTTACCCATTTTCATTTACAGAAACAAAGTCATGCAGACAATATAATTGCTCTCTGGTTTTGCAGTATTTTATATGTCCATCCCTAGACCCATTCTTGAATGTGTTTTTGCCATAAGATGTATAATTAAAATCAGAGTATATTTTCATGTGCATTCTCACAGATGGTATTTTTTGTTTGTTAAAGAGAACAGTTCAGGATGTTCTAAGATTAAAATATATATGTATCTAAACTATAACTGGAGAATGAAAAGTTGTAAAGAGGTTAAGTTTGATGTAAGTCTGTTATTTAAAAAAACACATATACAAAGTCCAGACTTTCTCTCTGGCAAATGGCAGCATGAGTGATGTTCAGTAATGTCAGTAATAGAGACTAAAGAATTAAAATTTTAATTAAATTAAAAAAAAAAAAAAGGAAAAATAAAAATGTACTTGAAATAATAGTAGAAAACATCATCAGTTTCAAAATAAGTCAAACAGTGGAGAAGCAAAATTATCAGCATGAATTTATTTCACAGACTATATAAATGTATATGTATACACTATATATATTTTATATTCATATACTAATCATAAACCATAATCATATTGTATGCAGTGTGTATGCATATATATATGTGTTTGTAAACTAGCAGTAGTGTAAGAAGCAATAAGTTCTACATTCATGGCTTTGTAATATACGTAACTTGTATTTAACACTGTTTTTTCATTTCTATTCTTTGAGTAAATTCCTGAAGTTACAATATAGAGATTTGTCAATAACTTACAGTGCTGTTTATTAAAATTTAAAATGCTTGAGTATTATATTCAATTATCATCATCACCTTCTAGCTTGTTTCTTATTTAAAGAATATTTTTTCATTCTTTGTCACCAAGTTCAGTACTCCATCATCCAACATCTTTAACTAAACAGTGCTGAACAGTGTGATGCTAACTGCACACAGCGTATCAAACCAGAATCCCATCCAGCAAAGCAGTAAAGAATTCGTAATGTTTTTATTAGAATTCACTGAAGTCTAGTGATAACAGACTGGAAATGTGGGCAGAAATACTCTTTTTAAATTGGCAGTTTTAAATGTTTTTTTCTAGTGCGAAGTGTCCCTTTCCGTGGCAGGAGGGTTGGAACTAAATGATCTTTAAGGTCCCTTCTCACCCAAACCATTCTGTGATTCTATAAAATGTCAAAATTCTGTTAACTAAGGGGAACTGTGAGGAAGTTTGTTCATGTGTATCTGTTCATTTTGTGAATTGTTACCTCATCCAATATTAGATTTTACAATATAAATGCTCACAACTGGGGTAATCATCCTTTAGAATCTGTATACCTGAAGAATCCTAGGACACAATCTTTTCCTAAAGTAAATATCTAGTATAGATCAGATTAGTCACATGGCAGAGAAGTATGGGGATTTTTTCAATAATTATAAAAGGATTCTAGCTCACCTTTACCTAAATAAACTTCAGTCACCTGAAATTATGTGCTAATAATCCAATCCATTAAATATATAATCCAATCCATATATATATAGTTTGGCTGTTGCACAATAAAAACTTCCAATATTTACAAGCAAAGCAGGAAAGGATTTTGTTACATTAATCCTAACTCATTAGTGATCAACATTTCTAATTAATGACCTGCCTCATTTTTTACTAGCTGATAGTTGAGAGGTTCAGAACAGATTTTCCTTCCAATTTTTAGAAACATATTCTTTTGAGATGGAACCAAATGCCATCTCTCTTTCTGTCAAATGAGAAGCTTCTCAAAAATTAGGGTAGGAAGGTGGGGGTAAGGGAGGCTTATTATAATGAAAGTAAAAGCTTGCCTTTAAATACAGATAGCAGTACCAACCAAGTTGTGTTTATAATACTGCATTCTATTATTCTACTAAGAAAGGAACTTGTGTGTGAACTAACACCGTATAACTCATAATAGCCTTAAGAATGCAATGATTAATTACTGTCATTCAAAAGTTGTACCAGAGAACAATGCTGATTTGTTTCGTAATGATTAAAAAGGTAAAGGATAAAGAAGAATTTAAAAGATGTATTTGCTGAAATGGAAATCAGCAGATCCACGGATGCAAAAACATCTAGCTACCAGTCAAATCAAAATACAAGTTTACTTGCTGGCACCACCTCTTACATTTAGCATTGTAAATAACCAGAATTGGCTCTCTCGGTAAAAATACTCTCTCAGTATTTTAAGAAAACAGAACAGTTTAGTTTTCTCCATTTCCCAGTAACAAAACCAAACCAAAATAAAAATAAAAATAAAAAATTAAAAAAAAAAAATAGTGGAGAAGGCATTTAGCAGCTAAATCCTTCCTGATATGGCAGATACAGGAAGAAACAGTCATCCACCAGGTAAGAATTCAAGAGACAAAATGTAGTTTCCATGTAAGAGGAGTGAACTGCTGGAAGAGCTACCTTTATACACCATCTCATTCCTTTTCAAGAAAAAGTGAGCAACAGTGTTTGTCCTTATTCTTTACCAAATCTTTGCAATCTCAAGAGCATCCTCTTCCACATTTTTTCTGGTTTAGTAGCTTTCCCCATACTTGCTGCTAAAGCACAACCCGGCTGAGTAACAGCGTTGCGGAATGGCAGAAGATGGAATCTGTTAATGAAAAAGAAGATGGTAACTCTGCAGCTGTTGTTGAGAGCCTCTTTTCTGTTTGCCACCAAATTTGTTTTAGAAAATATTTGTACATCCTTTTATTTAGTTGCCAGCCCAAGCTTCTTCTTTGCCACTTGTGTAGGGGACCTTAAGTGGACTAAACAAGTGTTTTTAAAAAATTATAACTAACTCAAGCTGATCTTCACTTTCAGAAAGTAAGGCCTTGAATGCACCTTTGCTTAATTGAAGCCATTATGGTAAAATTTCCCTTTCCTTATGCAGCCTTTCTCAAAGATGTAATTAAATGTAATATTCTAATATGCGTGAACAGTATTCTTGTCTTGCCTGATTTGAGGATACTGTATGTCTTACAGTGTTTTAGTTATAAAATGACATTCTCCATAAAAATCTGTCCTGAACTGATAGTTCCCTCATGATCTCTTGTATTTACACTTACTATAATTAATACTTCAGCCAGCTTATTCATGAGTTCGTTATTATCCTCTCTGTCACAATCTCTGGTATTACTAGATCCTCACAGATATCTTTGTGTATTTTTGAGTTTTCTTTGTTAGTCTTCTCCTCCTAAACTTCATAGGGCAGGACTGAATAACAGTCCTTCAGAAATAATCTCTTCAAACCCCTAAATTATGTCGATTGCCATCTGCTGTAATGCACCTTTTTGGTCTCAGCTGTGTCCTTCCTCTACGGTAATTTGATTAGTACAAGTGCATACAAGTATCCAAATGTTGGTCTACCATTACCCCCATCGGGTGCCAGGAAAATGCTGCACTCTTCATCCCAATGCCTTTCTCGGTACTTCCACGTTACTGTGTTCAAGCCATAGTGTCTTCTCTCTCTGCCATGAGTCTTGCATCAGATCTTTTATCCAAGCATTTCAATACACCTTTCTAGTTGCTTCTGTGCTTACTTGTTATTACCACTGTGAGATGAACATATTACTTTTAATACAGCTTTATCAGATGTAATTTGCTGCAATTTCTTATATCATTCCTCCATGACAGGCTTTACAACAGCCTCAATATAACTGGTCTGAAGTTTAGCATTGTAGCTCAGGCTCTGGAAACAGAAAAGATAAAATTTGCTTGAAGAAAACTTAGCTGCAATCCATACAACTTCATTTTAAAGTTGACAATGCTGTAACCTTTATATCAGCAGTCTACCCTGAAGCCTACCGTTACTGTCATGTTAAGAATTCTTCTTTTCCTTATTGAACTTTACCTTTTCCTTTTCTTTTGGTATTATACCTTTCTAGTTATATCATTTTTTGGATTTGTTATTGCTCCACATAGTTAGAAGGGGCTTGGATTGATTGCTGTATCAAATATTTTTGCCATCTAGTTACTTCTTCAGTAAGCATGAAAACACTGTTGTTTGTGCACTTACTCATTAAAATACATTCTGCATAACCAGTTTCTTTCCTACTTCCAGCAGTCAAGGAGCAGGATATACTGGTGTATACCAGTGAGAATAGTTTCAGAATAGAAGCTAATAGCTGCATTTTCCTGGATAACAGGATTTTCCCAAAAGCTTTTTCCCCTTCTTATCACACTAATACAATTTAATACTATTTCATTTAAAGAATATTTACCCTGCCAAAGTATCCAACTATTTCATAATTTGAAGGTTTGCTTGAGACAGCTGCTAAAGACAGTGAAATATTTAATAATGTTGCATCACAAAAAAAATGCCAATAAGATACATTGCAGCTTGCTTAGAGCTGAAGAAAACTAGGATGCCAGTTTTCATGATGATTGTGAGATAGTTTTAAAATCTTGTCATTAATATGCTAATCATTTTTCAAATATTTATAAAGCATTGAAACCTTTTCTGTATGCTTCTTCTGGCATAGTTTTCTTTCTTCTATTTTATTCCAGTTTAGAACTGGAAATTTTATAGATTTCTTTACCATATTGTAGCTCTTGTACTCTTCCTTTACCCAACTTTTATCTTGAGAAGAAGAAAGAGCAAGACAAACTGAAATTGCAGGACAGATTGATATCCAATTACAGTTGGATTGGCTGCTTGTTACAAGTTGACAATTAAAGCAACCTGCCATTTCATTTCATTCTTGCAGCTTTCTAGCTTTCTTAATGTTGAAAGGGATTTCATATTCAAATATAACTAGTGATATCATCATGTAGCAGAATGATGTTAAAGAACATTGTTCAGAAATTTGGTTGCAAGAAAAATAAAACAAGTCTGTACAAGTATTCTTATTCCAGCAGCATGCACAATTCACAAAGAGATAGGAAAGCAGACAAGAGAGGTGCTGTCTTACCTAAAAATGTTTATAGAAGAACAGCAGCTGAGATTTTGTGAGCTATAACGTTTACTTTCATTGTATTTCTTCACTTCCAGTTTTCCTGAAATGCAGTATTTCCAGCAAGAGAATGTGAGGAAAATTCTTACAGATGTTCTGTTCTGCTATGCCAGAGAAAATGAGCAGTTGCTTTATAAACAGGTAATGAAAATATAGTACAGGTGGCATTCATCGACTCAACATTTTCTATATGGTTTGACAATAATGTGGTTCTGTTGTATCTGAAGTTGTATCATAATGCTATAGTAATCAAAGAGTTGCTTGTCATCTGTATAGTGAGAAAAGTAAGCTCACTGAATAACATACGCTTTTTCCTCATAATACAGTCCCTCAGATTGTTGTTTTTTTAAAAAGTTTCTAAGTTGTCTAAATTTGAATTCCTTTATAAAAAACATATTTTTGTTCGATGTTGGTGAAACAGAAAAAGAACAGGAACAGGAAGCTTTATGTGCTTTGGTAAAAAAAAAAAAAAAGTATCAGGATTAAAAATGGTACTGAATAAATAAAAATCACAAATAGATTTCTGAAATGTTAGCAAAATTTACCATTTTGTTTTATATAATACTTCAGATTCTTCCTCAAGGTGCTAAAGCCATGCTATGCATTAGCAAATAGATTCTTTATCTAGTCGTGTGGCAAAGAAATGCAATGCTGCTGACAAATGTCTGTTGACTGATGGACAAGGGTGCTAGCAAATACCACTTTTACAGTATTGCCAGAAACAGAGTGCCTGCTTACACCTTCTTTGTTTAAATGGTAAGGGCAGCCTTTAAAGCTGCACTAACAATATACATCCATATGGGATGAGGGCTAAATTAATGTAACATTTCTTCTGAAGGTTTTGAAGTGAATATAAGCACGATATTAAATTAATGTAGCAAGACTGATACACAGATTTATAGACATTTGTATTTGTATGCCCAGACTATTAACTGTAGGGAGATTAGTGACTGACAAACTGAGGGACATGGACAAAAGGTAAACTGTAGAGCAGCAAACTTTAGGTAGGACAAAAACACAAAGCTTCAGTAAATGTGAAGAGTTTTATAACACACTGTATCCTCCCAGGCATGGTATGTGACCACCCTGCCCCTAAGCCAGGAAATTAGTTGCGATACATGAAAAGACCAATGTTGAAGAAACAGGAATTAAACAGATTAAATCAAAAATCAAATATATAGTTATCAAACATATCAAATCTCCATCAGCTGGTTACTTTTCATGTTTGACAGACTGTTTTGCATGATAGCAAGAAAGAACGAGAATTGTGAGCTTCAGCAGTATTCAACCTCCCCTTTCTAGTGAATATAGGCCAACATTCTGATGATGGGAAATTGGAAGAACACATTCCAGCTAATTTAGACTATCAGTTATTGAACAAGAAGTATTATTTTACTCTTTGATATGACTTAAAAGGACTTAATTACCCTCTGCTCATATTTAAAATCCTCTTGATTCCTTACCAAGAAATAATACCTTTCTACATAAGGATGGAATATTTAGCCAGATCAAATTTTAAAAAAAGAAAGCCCTGAGTTTCATCACAAGCTGTTAAAGCTATTATTTTCTACTAGGTGACACCCCGTTTAACATAGACCATATTGTTAATAGTTATGGGATTTTATTGAATTAATGAGACTGTTATCATGTAGTAGAATGTCTTGCTGAGTTAATTGAAACTGCAGAGATTATATAAATGGTATTAATGAACTTTGACTGCCTGATGTCTCAGCTTTAATAAAGACTGCTTGGTGGGCTAAATGAACATAGGCAGATAAAAGAACAGGTTCAATTTTGCGAGCCTACAGGCTGTTGACAAAGAAAACTTATTTACCTCTGTTTTCAACTGGTGTTGGTTGCATCAGTAGTGCAGTAATTTCAGGAAGGGGTTGCCACAGGACTACAAGGGGAGGTAAAATGCATAAAAGGAAATAAATTTGGATCATGGAAAACTGTTGATTTAATATCTCTGAAGTGTTTCAGTATATCATCCAAGTGTTGTGGTGCCCTGCCAAGTCCACAAAATAGCAAATGGTTGTGATTTTACTCCCTTCTAATGGACACATGTCATTTTTATTAGAAGCTTTTCGTTTTTCATACCTCATTTTAAAAGGCCTTTTTTAAAAAAATGATGATCCTGTTAGCTTATTAGTAACAATCCTGTTTTTTTGTCCCCGTGTTCTTCTCTCTTTAGATACCATTTCTTTTATGACCATCAGTATCCTTCTCAGAATTAGCTAATAGGAAGCAGTTTGTGGTGGTGACAGGATACTTTTTTTTTCTCTATTATCAAATACCTATGTTGTAGTCAGTCTTCCTGTCCTACCATTTTTCTTGGTTGTTTTTACCATTGACTTCCCACTAAAGCAATGTATAGCATATTTTCATGAAGATAATAAAGGTTACTATTGATTCATCAGGAATGGATCATTTCTGAGATGCTCTCTCCAAAGTGACCTGAATACAAAGCACAAATTCTGAAGTTTATCTTCATATTCAGTATCCATCGTGGGATTCATCCTGTTGTTCTGTATGGGAATTCCTCTCTCACATTTTTATGACCACATGCAAGAACTAAACTTGCTGTCGTAATTGTGACACTTGGCCAGTAAATGAAAACTTGCACTTACATCTGTTAACATCTGTACAGGACCTGATGTTTCTCTTCCAAATATTTGGAAAAAAGTTCTAGTTCCTTGCCAATTTGCATCCTTATAAATAAAGAGGGCTGAAATTTGCAATATTTCATTAAAGCTATTATGTAGCATCAGTATATATTCTTAGAAGAATCAATGTTTGCTTAATATGCATATATGCATGAAATTTGTCTTTGTAGTAGGTTTTGTGTTTTTTTGACCAGCATGGAGTAACATTTTATTTGATGGGGAAAGACATTTCCGTCCCTAGTCAGATGGAATAGAATGTTGTGAGGCTGTATTATAGAGATTTTAAAGACAGAATCCTCAGTGGGATCATTGAATTTTTAAATAGCAGCTGTAAATAAAAAATGTAAAGAGAATAGTATATTGTACTTAAGAATATGTAAAAATTACTATTAGCATTCTTCTATAAGATTGGTGCCAAAAATTCTGGTCCTAGTTACATTGAAAAGAAATAGTGACAATTAAGCTAAATTGCTAGGCTAACCATTGTTCACTCATGATTTGATTGACCTTAAAGAAGTCAATATAATTTTGAAATGCATTGATTCACTTTGCATTGTACAAATGCTGTATTTCTGGTTTTCTTTCTAAACCATAGACTGTATTATGAAATCAATATTTTGTTGTAGCTGGGAAGTGTCATAAAATTATCTGAGCTCTGTCAACTTATTTATTAACACTAAAGAGTTTTAGTAAGCTGCAGCATTGAAAAAATGTGTATGCATATTACATTGGTGGCTTTTCTTGCCAAACTAAAAATCTCTAAACAGTTGAAGTACTCTTGTAACTGAAAGATCAGAGGTATCTTTTTGAAATCCTGATATTTCATCATCTGTTTGTTTTGTTTTTGTTGTATGTGGGCAGCCACATTACAATTCTACTTTATTTTATAGTTGATACATTATTATGTTGGAAGAATGTATGATGTGCTTTTATCTTTTATGACTAATTCTTATTTTATGTCCTCTTTCTTTTTCTTCAACTTACGTGTTTACAACTTAGCTGGTAGTTTTATTAGATAGTCAGGTTTTTGGCATTTCCATTTCTCTTATTTCATGTTAGTATATCAGGGTGAATAAAAGATTAGATATGGAGCTGTTAATTGTCTGAGGTCTGATAGTATATATGGAAGCACTGCATTTGTTATCTACAGTTTATTTAAATATTTTTGGTATTTTTACTTATCTTCTAATTGTGGACCTATCTCCCAGTCTTTCCTATTTCTTTCTTTCCTGGTACAGCTGTAAGACTTTCAGAAATCTGAGGCTGTCATCTTGCAATCTAAATTATATTGTTATGTTTGAGAATTTCAGATCAGCTCCTGAAATCAAGTGGCTACATGAGAACCTAGGGTTTAATTTATTTTTTTTTTTCCATCTTTTGAAGTAGTCCCTAAAGGTTCAGAAATCAGAAGGGAAAGAAAAGCTCCACTCTTTAGCATGTTTACTGTCTTTAGCTATGCCCAGTCAACAGAATTTGGTATTGCTGCAACCCTACAGTTGAGGCTATATCAGCAGTTGCCTCAGTTCTGAAGAAATTAAAATTGGATTTCCTAGATTTTGGTTGAGAGAACACAGAGATAGTTCTACCACCACTCATTTTCCTCCATGTTGCCAAGTATTGGAATTTCCTTTTACAAACAAATGAGATTCATGCATCATAGATAGATAGTGATAGATAATGACCTAGAGAAGGCTTTCTTATCTATCTGAGTCCTCTCTCTGCTCTGATCTACATCTGATATTTCTGATAAAACTTTAAGTGTATTTTGTTGTTTTTATTTGTTTGTTTGTTTGTTTTCTGATAATGGATTTGCCTGTATCAAGCTGGTAAAGCTAACTCTTACATACTGAATACTCCTGAAATGCTGCATGTAATATCACAGTTCTACTTTGACCTATCTGAGAGTATCCCAAGAATTTTAATAATATGCTGCCTAACTGAGATCTTAATAGCATCCAGAGATCCTACTCCAACACAAAGGTCAGAGAATCCAAGCAGGAAACAAAATAAATGTGAGATCTGCTAAGCATGTGGTGGAACAGGCACTGTACCATTCTTTGGGGGGCCAAGGTCTGTAGTTCCCTCTCCTTGGAGTGATCGGTGCATCCAAAGGCAGCCAGACTTTGCTTCATCCCACACCCCTTCCATCACTAAAGGGCTCCCCTCGCTTCTTTTTTATGGCTGACCCCCACCCCAATCTTATGTAGTTCCCACCTGCCTTCCTAGTCCCCCACTGGGAACCCAGCTCCACTGCTTTATGCAAACTTCCCAGATCCTCCTTTTTCCTGGTCTAAACTGAGGGAAGGGGCTGAATCTCTCCTGTAGCTGAGGTTTCATTCTGCAGACAATTGTTTTACCTGCCAGCATGTTGCTGCTTGCTAACAACTGGGCTGTTTGTTTGCTGAAGCGGTTGCTTCTGCTCCCATTAACACATTGGAAATCCCCAGATGAACCAATACGAGTCAAGACTCCTCTGGTGAGCATTGATGGGTTGCCCAGCCATGCTTCTAACCCTGTCCCAAGTCCTGAACTATCCACCACTTTTTTCCACTCTGATTCCTGCATGGCTTTATATTTTGACTATGACTGGATATAGATTGTATTTGTAAGTAAAAGTCTGAAATGGAACAGTTCCAGGTCTCCTACACATTGTGTTAATAATGTACTTTTTAAAATATTGACCTAATGACTTTTTTTAATTTAAAAATAAAGGTGAAAAAGCCCTTGTATTTCTCATGTGGAACTTTAATTTTCTAATTTCCCAAATAGCTGCCCAAGTCTCCTCTAAAGGCTACTGTTATGGTGGTTTTGGAACATTATAAAATTAAAAAATAATAATAATTTTAAATTTTGTAATTTGTCCTTATTGCAGATCTGTGTGTACTGTGGATCGTGATTGTAATTAACATAAATAAAATTTATATTTATGAATATAGATCTTGGAGTAAACTGCCAGGTGCACGGTTGCTTACCATTGCCAATCTGTTGCCTGTTGTGTTAGAAGAAGGGAGAATAACTTACTTCCCCCATATTATAGCAGAATAAATACTTGGATTTAATCAGAATTTAAAATAAAAGACTGATTATGAAACCATTCTGTTAAGAATATAAATGTTCACACTTTTAGTTAGTCTGCACCCAGTATTGCGGGCTGCCTGATGCTGTGCTTTATGAACTATTATATGAATGAAATATCTTACAGTACTTTTGCTTCTTTTTATGTTTAGGGTATGCATGAACTCTTAGCTCCCATTGTTTTTATTCTGCATTGTGACCACCAAGCTTTTTCACATGCCAGTGAAGCTGCACAACCAAGGCAAGCATAATGTTTTATTTATATAATATTAAAAATTTGCTTCTTTAGAAAAAATACATAGAGTTTTCTGGATTAGAACTTGTAAATATGTTCTTTAATTATCTGTTTATAATTAATAAATTAACTTGAGAAAATGTTGCATAGTCTTGCTTTTATGGGAAATGTCCTTATTTTGTCTTCCCTACTACAGCATGCAAAGGGAGGTTTTAGTGTAGACATTGGCCAATTCACAGCTATTAGATATAGAAAAAAGGGAACACAGCAAACCTAAAGGAAAACTTTAATGTTCACCTCATTTTTTGTTATTGCCAAGAATGCTTTAGTTTTTGTCATTGCAGAGAGGAAGCGGAGTAGAAAAACACAGTCTTAGAATGGACATATTAACAACTTTCTTTCCTTGTATCTTAAAATAATCAATGTAGATGCATTGTTGACTGATATTTCCTTTATTACCTTGCAATGTTGTAGCTGCAATACCTGACTATGTTTTGTCTTGGTAGTAACGTTAAGTTTAGGTATTGATTCTCCATTTCAGCCAAGCTGTGCGTGCACGTGTTTATACACATGTATAAAATACTATATCACGTATGATTGTGAACTGAATTCAGATGCTTTTTTCTTGCCTTATACGTAAAGCTTTTCAAAATAAATAAATACACTAGTTGCCTGTTCGAATCATTTGTGATATTTAATCAATTTCCTTTCATTTGTCTTTTTTGTCATTGCTTGTGGAGTCTAGCAGTGAATAAAGGCCAATTTAATTATATGTGCTATGTATCGTAACCTCTTTAGCACCCCTCAATGTGATTGTCCAAAGGCAGTATTAGCATAAGGATGGAATTTATTTACAAGTGTGTTTTTATTCAGTGTATTCAGATATCCTGAAATTACCTAGAAGATGCCCTTCAGTGCAAAGTAACTCAAAATAAGCATGTGTTACACGCAGCATTCTGTTCCAGTGCTACTGAAAAAGTAGAGCCAAAGAACAAAGTAGATGGAAAAGAGGTGCTGTCACTGATTAATTGCTGTTAAAGTACAATAAAAATACAGGCTATTAAAACAAAATAAATTAATGTTTTGATACTGCATATTTGACCAGTAACCATTTTTTGTTGTTTTGGACAAACAGTGATAGATTGTGCAGCAATCAATTATTGTAGATCAAGCATATTCAAATAATACATTGTGACATTCAGTAATTTGTTATTTGGAGTAATTAGATGGTTATTTCATTGTAGTGCAGACAAGGCAGCTAATTTGTTTTTGATCTTTATAAAAAGGAAAGACTTCATTTGTTCAATGGAGTTGCTCTTTTTAATTAAAAAGGCTAGTTTTCTCATTTGCACTTTATATGAAAGTTGGCTTATAAATACATAATAGTACATGCAGAGCACTGACCAAAAACAAACATTCACATTTGGATTGTTCTCTGTTGATTTTTTCAGTGAGGAAATGAAAGTCCTTTTGAATCCTGAATATCTGGAACATGATGCCTAGTAAGTTTTAACAACTTCCTTTACATTTAATTTACTCTTATTTGCAATACATTATTTAACACCGAGTTTCTGGCTTTTCCCCTTTCAGTGCAATGTTCACACGTCTTATGAAGACTGCAGAACATTGGTTTTCAACTTTTGAACATGACAGTCAGAAGGTAAATATTACTCTAAAATGCATTTATTCTATTCTTAAACAAATGTGTTTTCTAATGTGACTGAAGTAATTTGAAGATGATAACGTTTGTTCTCTTAAACAATTTGGTTAATTGCTTAACCAAAGTTAAACAATTAAAAATTAATTTAAAATTAACTTAATTTTAACTTGGTTTTAAGTTATTTAGAGGTTTTTCAGAATTAGGTCATAAGCACTTGTGGAAAGTCAGTTGGCAGTTCCTGTCTGTGGAAAGATCACTTTGATATTGAATGCCACACACAGGAAAATTATTCTCCTGTTTATGAGAGATACTCTTGTATAGTAGTCAAAAGATTGCTTGTCATAGACACATGTAAGTGCCCCAAACTTGCGCTAATGGCATGTTAAGTAAATACATTGAGACAGTGTTTAACATTGAGGCTTGAATTAGTTTAAACCGTTTTCAATATAAACAATTTGACGTGAAACCAAAATCTTGTTCATAGGTTGCCCATCGTAGGTCAGGGTTCATCTGTGACTTCGTCCCGATGCCACCTCTTTTTTGTTGATGATGATCCTTTTTTTCCCTCCTCTTTTCTTCTTGGCCTGAGGATATTCTGAAGGAATGTTTGTGCCCAATCAGCAGTGTAGCTATACAGATGCCATTGTATTTAGCATTTTGTTTCACAGTATGGAAAAGCCTTTTCTGTGTATAGTTTCACAGAACCTTTTTTTTTTTACTATTTTTTTTTTTACTATTTTTTTCTTGCCCTCTCTGAACTCTTTGCAAGGAATATCTAGTCTTTGCCTGTAACCGTTTTTCACGCATGGCATATTTAACAGTTCCCTCTGTCTGTTTTGCCTCATTCTAATGTTCAAGATTTTATTTTTTTTTTCTACTTTCTTCCTGTCTCTTTCCCTTTTTGTGTTTCTCTTTAATTCTGAAAAATTATTTTTGTGATGGGCTGTACGTAGAAGGGTCTAGCAAAACAGCCATGTTACAGTTGTCCAAGACTTTCAATGTATTGTATACTAAAAGAGTTGGTCTCCAGACTAAATTCCAACTTGATTTATTTCAGCATTTTTCAAAGACCATAGGGCAAGTAGAGTCAAAAATAAATTAATAAGAATTTGGTCATTTTGGGATGCCCACGCATGTGCACCAAAACATATACTTGCAAACTGTAATTAGGGAGTGCTAATTTTAGAGATGATTTTGCCTGTCTGTTGAAAAAAATGTTGTTCATCCAAGTCTCACATAAAAGATTCTATTTTATTTAAATGTTTAAATGTATCTGTGTATATATTTTATAGATACGGAGTGTTGGCCAGAGCTATCTACAGTTATAAATTACTATTTAGATTTGAATTTTACATAGTTTTCAGTAACTACAGATAAAGTGTAAGAGATACAAATTTTATGAACTTATTACATAGTCACTTTCATTCTAACAACAAAGCTGCAAGATGTTTCTCTTGAGTGTAACTTTTCAGAATTCAGTGTATTCAAGCATATTTGTTCCAATTTCTGTGACAGAGGTGGTGAAGTCTGAGGCTGATTTTTATTCCAGGAAATAACTAGGTCAACTTACAGATTTACAGTGCTTGGGTAGAAGGTGAAAGTTTACATTACCCTTTCTAGTCCTTTCACAGCATAAAAAATTAACTATGCACAGTACATGGATTAATATCTGGTTGTTTGTTCTTGTTCTTTGCAAACATGTATAATCTTTAATAATCCTTTCTTGTGCGTGTGCCTTTTACAGTCATGACTTTGAGGGTTGGCTACATAATAAAGTCTGAGTCTTCACAAATGAAGCAATGAAAGCATGTGCTCTGAGATACATGTTACATTTTATAGCCTCTAACAGTTGGTTCCATTACTCCCAATTGCCATTAGAGGAGCTGCTCCAGCTACGGCATTCCCTAGTGGTTAATGAGAGAAATCTGTCCACATTTATACTTGTGCTATGTCCTAGCCTCTCTTTACTGCTGTAGCATTTGTTTCCTAAATGCATGAATATATAAGTTGTATTAGTATCAAATACCAGCCATTCCAATTCATGTTGTGTTCAGTAATGTTGTGTGGCAGGATTTGGTGATTTTGTTCCTAATACTTGATCTAAAATATTCAGCTCTGTTCCACTGGTAATAAATATTTAAATTGTTCTTACAGGTGAATCTGGTGCTCTCCTTTAAATAGTATAACAAATCTCTGAGCTGTACTTCTTTTCCTTACTGCGAACCACATCCCTTCGGGGTCTATCATTTATATTTCATGGTAACAGTGGATGGCTAAGCCCATACACTCATGAAATGTTTGCCAAGACTAAGAAGCTCACAAAAAAAAAACAGGTGTTTCGTCCCATGTGGCAAGTCAATATGTAGTGAGGATAGGCATGGGCACAGTATCATGTTGTCCACTTAGCTTCTGTGCTTTAGGCAGAGACACTGTGAATCATTTCTAGGTAAACATTTTGACAGCTTAATTCTATTAGTTCATTTGACCATCTTTGTGTTTGGGCTGTTCCTTTCATACCAGTTTGATGATATTATTTGGAGCAATTTCAACTGACTAAATGTATCGTCATTTTCTCAACCAAATTGCTTGAGACAGCAGACATATCATATGCTCTCTAGTTATTCACCAAACTTCTTCATGGTGTGCACCAAATCATGAGGCATGTGTTGGTCCTCATAGTCGGAATCCTTTCACACTTAAACCAGTGTGTAAGACTCTGTCTTTTAATTTTGTAAAGATGACTATAAACCCACAGACAACCAATGGTATAAAGACTAATCTGGGTGACTACTGAGTCTTGTCATTTTACAAGCTCATATAGGTTGAAAGATTCTAATGTTGAGATTTCTATATCAGGTCTTATGCCTATAATCAAGAAAATTTTAAAAATGCAGTTCTCTTGAGTCATCAGACTTATGCACGGTCAAGCTGAAGTTACACTCAACTAGAATAAACCTGAATAATGTACACATTGCAGATGTGTGCCAACTGATGGAACATGCACAGACTGTGAATTCATACAGTAACAGGTTTTTATGATTAGTTTCAAAGATAAATGGGTATGTTTATGCAAAAGGTTACTGTAGACTGGCATTTAACATTAAGGCAATGTTATAACTTAGGAGTGCTTTTGTAGGAGATTAGACATCCTTAGTGGATTCCTTTCTTTTTTCTCCACATTCTGGCATGTGACCAAGAAAACACTGAAATGGATATGAAATAATAATAACAAATAGTCATACAATAGAGAAGCAGAAAAGAATTCAGTAACTTGTTTCTAGTGTATTACTTCAAATAACGAACATAGAGGGCATTTAAATGTGGAATAAGGACATTTTTCTGTCCCTACCTACTTCCCATGGGCTCTCAAATTGTCTGTGGACCTTTACTCACCTCCCATGCTGGCTAAGTTCTTGTACTTGTGTTATTGGAAAGATGACATAAGCTGTCCATCCTAGAATCAAAATGGTTCAGGTTGGAAAGGACCTTAAAGACTACCTAGTTCCAATCTCCTGGCATGGGCAGGGACACCTCTCACCAGACCAGGTTGCCCAAAGCCCCATCCAGCCTGGCATTGAACACCTCCTAGAATGGGTCATCCACAGCTTCTCTGGTTCTCTGGGCAACCTTGTCCAGTGCCTCATAGTAAAGAATTTCCTCTTTATAACTAATGTAAATCCTGCTTTTTTTTTTTTTTAAAGCCGTTACCTCTTGTCCTATCCCTACATGTGACTCCCTAAAAGGGGCGAAAACTGAACACAGAACTCAAGGTTTGGCCTCCCCAGAGCTGAGTACAGGGAAACAATCACTTCCCCAGCCCTGCTGGCCACACAGTTTCTTATGCAAGCCAGGATGCTGTTGGCCTTCTTGGCCACCTGAGCACTGAGCACACTGCTGGCTCATATTCAGCCAACTATCAACCAGTACTCCCAGGTCCTTCTCTGCCAGGCAGCTTTCTAACCACTCATCTCCCAGCCTGTAGCACTGCTTGGAAAACAAAACAAAAACACCTTCTTTTCTTTTCTCTTTCAAATCTGACAGAAAATCTAAGTGTTTTTACTTCAAATTATTTGGCACATTTATTCTTTACATTTTGGGGGTGAAAGGGGAGGTTTGGGACACCTAAATTATTTGTTGACATTGCAGAAAATTCAAGGTTTCCGCAGCTTGTTAACCGTCTCTAAGCAAGAGATGGTTTATCTCCATTTGCTCTGGTGAGCCCTTCCTCTTAGTGGCTAGAACCACTAGTTTCTGATGATCTTGCATCAGAGTCAACACTCTTACTTTTCTCTCTTCTTAGAAAAGGGAAAAGAAGTAGAAGTCCTCTTTTCAGACTCAGAGATGCATTTGATTTAATTAACATCACAGTAGACTTGCATTTACTTTCTTTGCATGCTTTTTGCCTTAAACACTAAATTTGATGAATCTGTTTTATTTGAATATGAAGTGGCTCTTTCATGAAGGTCATTCTTTCAGTATTTCTTCAAATGCTTATTCAAATGTTTTCTTTACATACAACCCATGATTCACATGTTCTACTTAGCTATTATCATGCTTTCCATCATAGAACTGTTCAGTCTGTATATTCTTCTCTGCTTATAATTAACAACTGAAAAACAACTGTTTACTTAATTAAAAAATAAATAATAAAAAGGAGGAGAAATATCCTTTCTCAACTGCAGCTATAAAGAATTTCAGTATTTAACTATTAGGCAGTACTTCATCATAGCCCCTAAGATGCTAGGTGTTTTATTTTAAATTTCTGTTTGGCAGAACAGAAGAGGGTTTTTTTTGAATGAAACTATGCCATTTTAATGAGGTTTATTTGATAGTCTGTGAGGGAATTTTGGTCAAGTGATTTGCTAGGTTATCTGAATTGAATATCTTTTGCTACCACAGCAGCATGGCAAAAACCACTGTACTGTAATAGACAGATCAGTCCCTTTGCTGAAGTTGCCATAGCAAAGCAACAGTTACACAGATTTCAAGATATAATTTATCAGACCCTTAAATAAAAACATTTTACCTGAAATCACTGCTCGGCACCATACAATATTTTTTGCAGTGCAGAAGTGGAATAATTAAGAAAAAAATATTTCAGACAGATTAACAAAAAACTATTTTTATTGAATTTGGGTAGAAATTATTAAATTTTCACTGCCCTTTTGAATATAAAACAGTGTTAGAAATAATGGTTAAATATGGTTACATCTCTTCTTCTTAAAATTATGATAGAGAATGGGACTGAAGAGGGTCTATAGCTACAAGAACCAACCTTGGGAATAGTTTGTACAACAAAAAATACTTTATTTGTTATTGAGTGCTGGAAATTATGCACTCTTCACTGAATTGACCCAAGTGAATGTCTTTCAGCAATTTTAGAAGTAATGAAGTCATTTGAAAGTATTAACACTTTGACCTTAATAATGATTCTCAATCAATATACTGAGCAACAGTATAGAAAAATAATAACTATTTTTTTAAAGTGAGGCTTTCAGATCTGAGAGTCAAGATGAGAAATTGAATGAAGTCTTAGCGAAATCTCTCTTCAAACTGTTTCAAATGTTCCTCTTCTGTAACTTCAGCATCGTTCTGGACAGGTTAATTCTCCATTTGCCTTTCCCCTGTCTTTCTCTTGTTAGGTCTGATTTGTTCTTTTTTATTCCTCACCCTCATTTTTACAAATTTCCTGTTTAGTATAGTTAATTATTTGCTGCATTTCTTTCTAGCTTTCCACTTCTTTTCAGTAATAATTCACTCTTTTGCAAAAAGAACAAATTTAAAGTCACATCACATTCAAGTATGCTAATATAGTAGTTTTCTTCCTCTGTTTTCACCTGTGTGTGTCATGTTACAGATGATGACATAGTTAGCACAACCATTCAGTCCAGCCAGCTGCATCCTAGTCCTGAGGTTCATCGCACTCTTCTTTGGTTTTAAAGGTTTTCCGATGCTTTATTAAAGTTGTGTTGATTTTGATCCACTTGATTTTCTGAGCAAGAGAAGCCTGTTGAGAAAGTGTTGTTCAAAAAAATAGTTATTTTCTATTTGGTATGCAATTTATTGTCCTCTAAGGGCATATATTCTCTCCAGTGTTACCATTCATGTGCATTTCTCTGGACTGACAAGTACAAAAATAAAATAAAGCTGTCAACACTTTGTCAAAGTGTGAAAAGTAAAGCAGGTACGTGAATTGGACTTGGAGAAGGAGGGAGTAAACCATGGAACACCCAGGAAGGGGAATCCCACAACAGGTGCCCCAGAAGGAGATACTTGAAATAACTCTTCTGCTGGAGAAAAAAAAAAAAAAAAAAAAAAAAAAAAAAAAAAAGGCTGTTGGTGTTTTTGTGTTTATTTGAAAGCCGGTGATAGTAAGACAATAAATTTCTTTCATGTAATTAAATAATAAAGGATGTTGGGTTTTTTTCCTCTTTTCTGTGTCTGCAGGAGAAAGATGTGATGATTACACCTATGCCATTTGCAAGGCCGCAAGACTTAGGCCCATCTATTGCTATTGTAACTAAAGTAAACCAAATTCAGGATCAGCTGCTGAAGAAACATGATATTGAGCTGTACATGCATCTGAACCGACTGGAAATTGCTCCACAGATTTATGGACTGTAAGTGTTTACAGTGCATTATTTAATTTAATTCCTTCTAGATTTATTTCATTGTTTGAGGACATTTTAGTCCTGAAATTTAAGATTAGAGGAATGGCAGTAAAAAGAAGTACTGTTTTTCTCTTACACCTTACTCCACTTACATTACAGTAAATGAAACCACACGGTTGTATTTGTGACAGAGACATTCCTAATGCAGATAAAGTGCATTCAACTATATATTAGAGGGCTTGACAGAGATTCCCAGTGCAGTGGTGGGACATCACTCCAGTACATACTGAAGGGGAAGAGGGAAAGCTTAATGGCTGAATGTTTTGTTTGCTTAATTTTGTCACCTGAATTGGTGAATTGCTATCAGTGAACTTTTCTCTATTCCAATAATAGAGGTTTGGATACTGGCAATATAGGCGTGGTAGGACACGTTGAAAGTTATGGCATGGTGGTAATAAAGTTTCTGTATGTGGAGTCAGCTCAGGTAGTCCTTGTTTTGTTAAAGTGACTCACATCCATTCAGGTAGCTTTGTATTATGTGTCCCCATTCTGTGGGGGATTTTTAGGTCAGGTGCGACTTTGTCCACAAATGTTTTCACAGCATTGTATGCAAACTACTTATGGCTGCTATACTCAATTTGGGTCAATACAGAGCATGCAAATTGTAAGAATCACGAGGACTTGTGAATTGCCTATGATTTTGAGAAATAATTTTGCCTTCATAGTCTGGAATTCTAGACAGTTGATTCATTTTGATCATTCCTAAGGAGCAAGCTGTATTTACAGTTGCAGAAAAATTAGACTTGTACTTTTTTCTAACTTTTTGCAGTGATTTAAAATTAACATTGACTTTGCTTTAAATCACAAAAAATGTTTCATTTGTAGGTTTGAATTGCCATATGTAATTGTGAATTATATTTAACAACTCAATTGAAAACGTGAAAAAGAAGGGAAAATGAGACTGTCTAAATGTCAGGCCATAAATGCAATACTTGCAAGTAAAGTCTAATTTGATGTTACCATAAACTGGAAAAATGCTGAGATACAGTACCGCCCTCAAGAAAATGGTCAAACTGAGGCTAAATAGTAGTCCCAAGCTGAAAAGGAGCATAAGAAGAGAAACATAATACTTGAAAACTCAATAATTTTGGTAGGAATGGTCTACAGGCAGCAGAAGAATAAACTAAGGAAACACAAGGTATTAAAGTATGAAGAGGACAAATAGTCTTATTGCAATATTTTTTGCATAATGTGGAGTAGTGAGTTTTCTTTATATCTTCAGTAGTCTAGAAGAGAAAGCAGGCATTGCTAATAAATTTCAGGAGTGGCAATGAATAGGTAGGTGGTGTAAACACCAAGGAAAACAAAAAGACAGTGCTTCTATTTTCTGAAGACTTATGAAAACATACAGAAAATAAGATCAACCTCAGAGATTTGCAAACATATTCTGGGGCAAAAGTAATTTGTATTGTAGGTATTCACTTCAGTTTAAGATTTTGCCTTTCAGTAACAGAAATAATTGAAAGAAAAAAAAATTAGACTTTAGCTCAAAACATGGCATTATAATAGCAGAGGAACAGTGCAGTCTGGTGCGGCATAAATAGAATTGAATCTGAATAAAGAAATTTACAGTTAAAGGAATGAATTATGAGAAAGATCTTCAGGCTGACTATCAAGAAAACCTTACTAACAGGGAGCTGTTAGACTGTAAAGTGATTTATCAAAATTAAAAAAGGAAAAACCATCAGAATATTTTAAAGACAGATTCTCAGAAGTGGATATTATTATAAAGAACAAGTCTGCTTTGGCAAAAGAGGAAAGTAGGCTGCAAGTGAGGTCATATCATTCTCTGACTTCTGATTTAATATAGAGAACAGGAAAAAAAAATAGAAAGGAACATGACTGTTGTATTATTCTCACATTTAATGATGTCTGAATTCTTCAGAATAACAACTTCCATTAGTGAACCAGCTTGACAGACTCAGATGCTGGATCTTTTCCTGTATTTAACATTTCTTGAACTAGAAACAGCATTTCTTAAACATAATAGATTATTAATAATTGCTCAGTATAACGCAAATGCAGAATTTATGTAAGTTTTTGTTGAAATATATTATTTTTGTGAAGTTTGTTGAATTTGGCAACAGTAAAACTTTGTATGTGAATCATTTGAGTGATTCGTATCAGTCAAAAAATACACACATGGTAGAAGGAAGACTAGGAACTTCCCTCAAAAGATTTAATGGAGCTGCTGGAGAAAAGTGCCAACACAAAAGACTTCTATGTACTGGTAGTCTTCCCTAGCCTGAGCAATTTATGCAGTCTACTTAAAAATGTAGTATTTCATACTTTGCAACTGTTTATAACCTTTTGTGGAAAGATAGAAACAATTCTTGTTTACTCTTTGTATTTTCATACTGTTGATTACCTGGCTCCTCTCATTTCCTTGCTGAGCAAAAAGAGAACCCCAGTTAGGTCTACTAAGTTACACTAGTGTCCTGGCTGTGCCATACTTTCGTTCTCTGGTGATGCAAATTCTTGTTACATGCAGTAGCCTTAAGGCTAGAATGTTTGCAACTGGAAATTTTGTGAGACCCCAGATTCATTCACTTGCAGTCAGCCACTGCATATCCCAGTGATAATTTTTCAGCTGCTATTAATATCGGCTAAAATGGAACCAGCAATATGGAGATAAAGGCTTTTGTCGTACCATTCTTTAGCCTTCTTTATTTGCCATGTCTCTGGTTTGTTTTTAGACCCTAAGATAGTGTTTTGCAGAATAACATTGTTTAACGTTCCTGGTAGCACTGCAAATTGCACACAGTCTAACCAAACTATAATAATTATCTAATCATATCTAATTTTCTACTTTGTGAAGTAAAGTACAAGAATGGTTTGAAAGTAAAATTGAATTGATTACATTAACAGCTCAGTGACATGCTTCCTGATAATAAACTTCTCCCTAAATAAAAACAAAAAATGCTAAAATTGCACAAAAAGATTAGATCCTCTGAAGGGTTGACAGATTGAATATTCAGTTTAATTATAAAATCAGATGAGTTAAAAAAGATTAATGTGCTAGATGAAATGGTATTCTAGTGTTAATTTCTTTGACCCTTACATCTAATTCATGTCAAAGTACAAAATAATTATTGCAAAACTATTCTGCAGTTTCTGCAGTGGCCACTGGTTGCAGTGACAAATTAAGCAGGTCACGTTCCCAGCTTGAAACAGGACAAGGATTGAAGAAAGTCTTCAGATATCTGTATTTTAAGACTTTTTCTTCATCTTACAGTAATTTTTAGTAGAGGATTTATGTTAGATTTCACTTAAAAGTTTAATCAATTGGGAGAGTCCCTCATAATATCATTATAACTGCTTTATTTTATGTACTGAGGGTTTCCAAGTGGATTATATTCATATTACATCAAATGAAATTCTCACAGAACTGCATGCAATAAGTACAGCCGGATCATGTAAATAAGATGTGGTTGTAAAGAAATAATGCACACAGTGCTAACGACAAGGCATAAGTATAAAAAGCTTTATTTAAGAACAAAAATTAACTGGTGGCATAAACTCACTAGCTTCTGCATCATAAGGCTGATGGCAGATTATATGCTGATATTATATTGGTTAAGCAAATTCTTTCTAAGTACATATCCAACAGACAATAAAGCACTTGCAGAAGTGAGCGTAAATATTTCATGATAGCTTAATCTCTGTACAAAAAAGGCCTTCTTACAACATTCAAAGCTAGTGACTTTGCCTCCCACTGCCACTCTGCTTTCTGATGATCAGTCAGATGGACGTATTGGGTGCTGTGCTTGGAGATTCAAATCCAGCCCTTTAGGCCGGTACCACAATTATACTTCAGGAAGAAAAGGGGGGGAAAAATGAAGAGAAGGATACAAAGCAAGTCACAAGGTACATTTGAAGCTAGCATTAGAAAGGTTATGTTACAGCAAAGTCAACAGCAGATGTGCTGCTCCACTATTACTATTCTTAGTTGCTTTGCTATGAGCACTGCTGTGGGGCGCCCACCTGTTTTAGTTTCTCTCCCATGCCATTATGGTACCAGGCAGTATTCTTTTCTGTAACCATATTGGTCTCTGGAGGGAGGATGTAAAGGATTTCACCAGTGCAGTAAAGGAACATAAATCATATACATCCTATCCAGAAAAAAAAAAAAATCCTACCAATCATCAGAATAAGGAGAAATATTCATGATCACCAGAAAAAAGTAGATCAGTTAGATTATCAGTCTTGCTAAGGAGAAGAGAAAAAAAAAAAAAAAAAAAAAAAGCTCTGCAGATCATCCCAGATGCCTAGGTTTATTACAATTCCTCTCTAATTTTTAATCCAATGACATCACTTAATTGGACAACAATTATAGTGTAAGCAACTTTGATCTATTGTGCATATAGTAGGGGAGCCACCAAAATCTGGCTTTGCTATTAAAATAAATAAATATTTTAGTATCTATCAGTGGCTAAGACTAAGCAAACAGTAAGTCGTCACGAATTTATTTTCTGTTTGACTTAAAGCATTACGTACAAAAAAGAATTTAATGCTATGCAAGTCCTAGCCTGTCTATCATTAGAATACTTGCAAGGATTTAATGCCAGATACACAGGCCTTTCTAAGAAAGGTTACAATCCTCTGTTACTCCCACAAATGAAAAGGAGATACAGGCTACTGGCGTTTTGGATGAAGTTTTTGGGAACTGAGTCAGACATCTGACTACTTTATCAGCTTATTCTTGTATAGTGAAATAAGTACTATAAGAAGAAAACTGGAAGTTAAAAGCAAAGTGACAGTGGAAAACAATTCTGAATCTAATTTAGAAAGCTACAACATATTTTGATGGAGAGAGGAGTTGCCTCAACTATTGTTGATGTGTCTGTTGAATTGTGATGGTTTACTGACTCAAAGGGATTGTTCTGTGCAAGTAAAAATTCTTGAAGCATCAGGGTAGATATCTCACTTTGAGGAAGCAAGCAAAGCTA